GTCTCTGAGGTAGATAGGATTGTTTGTTAGACTTTTATCCTACCTTGACCTCAATGGCTCAAGGCAACCTATATAGAACTCCCTCCCTCCTCCAATTTTTCACTGCCACTCTGTCCCTGTGAGGTAGGTTGGGCTGAGAGAATGCGGTTGGCCCAAGAACACCCATGGGCTTCTACAGTATATATATATATATATATATATATATATATATCTGCAAAATGTACAAAATAAGTACAATACAAATAAGTAAAATCACCTTTAGATTTAATAGACGTTGTGCTTTCCCCCTTGTCTGTGAAATCAAGGGCTTATTGTGAATATTTTCAGCCTCTTCTGAGTGCCATGTGGACCTGATGATATCATTGAAATGGGTGTGGCTGAAAGTTTTGGCCTGTTGGCTATTTGGCAGGGTTATGCAAAAAGATGCATGTGGTCTTCTAATGACCTGTTAAAAATGTAAATGTCAAAACACTGACTAAAGAAATCGTGATGTGGAGGATCACAATGTGGATGGGTAATATGTGAAGCAGCTCTAAGATTGATGCTATTTCAGATAAGGTTAGTGAAGGATAACCAGCAACCAGGACTCTGCTTTTCTCCTGCTTTACAAACAACATGGAATGTGTCTCCTACTTGTAGTGGCACTCCTCCAATTCATTGAGTAGTCAAGTAGGGCTAATTACCCCAATTTTCTATCCATTTTCTGACAGAGGATGTGAATAAACACTAAAAGAAATCAACATCTCCCCTCCCTCCCAACACAAGTGGGTCTCATGGGACCATTATTGTCAATTATACAGACATCCCTACAGGCTTTGTCTGCAGAGTAGTGACGCACCCAAATCCATGCTTCCTCCCTCTATAAAACTTGGGTTCCTTCCTGTCTTGGGAATCAGAGCTCCAGCAATTCAATAAAGAGATTAAGGTATGATTCCTCAAATCTGTAAAGTTCAGGAGTTAGGTGTATTGGTTGGTGGGTGAGGGTAATTTGGAATCTGGCAGCAGCATTTACATGGGATATAGGAGGGTTGCTAACTGTTTTTCAAGGTGGGTGCGTAACAGAAAACAGTACTGAAAAATGTATCTATAGAGTTTCTACCTGTTGTGCTGCTGTTCAATGATACAAGAATCCTATTAACTAAATGCGTGTATGCCTGTACCTACCAAGCATGCATACAATATGCCTTCAGGTATATAGACAGTCTCAAAGCATTTTGTTTGAGATGGTCTTCTAAGAATGTAGAGCAGTGTTGTCCAAACTTGGCCACTTTAAGATGAGTGGTCATCTTAACATGCTGGCTGGGAAATTCTGGGAGTTGAAGTCCACTCATCTTAAAGTGGCCAAGTTTGGACAACACAGATGTAGAGTATTTTCAGGAACTGGAGGTCAGAACTCATAGGAACCTGGATTGTGGGGTGAAGAAAAATCTGGACCTCAGTTAATTGTCATGTGAGCATCATAGCTTGGTGGTAGAACACTTGCTTTTTTATGCAGAACATGGAACAGCATTTTACCCAAGTTTTGCCTGCTTGCTCACATAGTATAAGATAAGTGTAAAAATAGCAACTTTCTTTAACAGGTACTAGCCATGTGTATGGAACTAGAACAACCCATTTTAGACTGCAAAAATCTGGACAATCACTAGATGGCATCATTGACACAGAAAACACTAACCCTTTGCTGCCATCTGGTGATTATCTGGATTTTTTGGCAAGTTGATCTGATAGCCTTAACGGAACTGCAATTCCCATAATGTCTTCTAGCATGCAAGGTGGTTGTAAATTATAAGAATTATAATTCAGAATGCCTGGACAGCTATGGTAAAAGACTGGGAGAGGCACAGAAAAAAAGATACTCTTCCTTTTTAGGGGTCACACAGCACGCTAAGTCTAACTTTACTTAATCATGATTTACTGAATAAAGCATAGTTTACACAATAGGTAGACCATGGTTGGGTTCAGACAACATGCTAATCTACAAGCAAACCACATTTTGGTTCAGCATGTTGTGTATTACCAACCATAATGGTAATGTAATTTCAGATAAATTGTTCTTTGTGAGTTTATTTATCAAAATCAGAAAATTGCTGACTTTTAAGAATCAGACGATAGCAAAATCAAAGAAGATATTGGCCTCCTATTTTACAAAGGAAAAATTAATTAGCAAAGAAATGTCATATGATGAGAAAGTGGCATTCTTTCTCTGTTTCTCCCGTTCCTTCTATCCAGATGAGGAGCTCTTGGTATGCCTTTTGCTTTTCCTTGCTCTTCTGCGGGCTGCTTGGGGACTGTTTTGGAGTTGCGCTTGTGGTGAGTTGTATCAGATCCTCCAAATCTATCCTGTCCAATTTGCTGGGGAAGAAGTACAGCATCAGGGTCTGGCCTCCACATGTGGAAGGAACAAAATGGTAGAAGGCTGTGGTTATGCCATGGACTACAGAATTTCAGATTGTGGGTTCCAAGTGTGAATGCTCCATGGCGTTTTGTTTTTTAAAGCATATGTGTGATTAACTGTGGTGGATAACTGCACCAAACATGCTTCTGCTGTGGTATTTCTGTCCAATCAGTAAAGCACTTTCAAGGTGAAATGGGATCTGACTTAGTGCAGGTTGTGTTTCATAGAGTAGTTAGCCAAATGGAAAAACATGGTGGTAGCAGCCCACAAGAAAAGTTCTGTCTCAGTTCTTTGCTAGCTGCTTGAGGCTGTGAGAAGGTTTTCAGAGGATCGCTGATTTCACGGCCTTTCTCTTGAGAGGATCTTCCTCAGAACAAGTCATAGATATGTTCTATGGCTACCTAGCCCACGATATATCACTATGATAAAGTAACCTTCAGAACAATGTGAACACCATGTGTCCATTAAAAGAAAAATTGGGAAAGGAGAGACCACCATCTTTCTTGGTTCAGATGATGGGACTTCTAATTATTATCTTTTTTTGGTATCTTCCATTTTTCTCTCAGTTCTGGAAGATATTTAACAAGAAGAAACAGAACAGTGCAATTTTTCTCCTTTCTCAAGATGGATTTCTCTTTTTCATTCCTTTGAAGTGAAATTTTGCAGATCCTTTTTTATTTTGTAGCCAAAATTCTGCTCCCTAAATCATGGATTTTGTCCTTTTGAATTTCTGCCCCTTTCTCCAAATCTAAAAATGGACGCAGGATGTAATTGTTGAGAGGATTTTGATTTATGATCAGAATATCCAGCCTGTGGATTCCTTGTGCCACTTATCATTTCATCTGGAATTGCTTCCAGCAAGTAACTAAGGACATTAATATTTTAAACTCCCATAATTTAAACTTTGTTATTTGTGGGAATTTAGATTCCTGTAGTAGACTAGGGACTGTCTTAAAACTTGTTCTGCTAAGGTACTCTGATTTGACTTTATTTTTGAGGGGGGTGGATTTGAGAGGATGAGAACTACAGATGGGCCTATATGTATAGATATGTAGCTATCTGGTCACAGATGATGGTAACATTTCTCCTTAGCATTATTAGACAGGCTGTCTTGAATGGAACCTGGGAAATTAAAATGGCTGATTCTGATTGCACAGTCACAAGATATGGGAAGTATATGGATGCCAAATGAGGCGATCACAAGTTTAGTTTAACATCATGTTTCTTATTGTTGCTTCGGTAGCCCAAGGACAAACGTGGATGGACCCTGAACAGTGCTGGATACCTGCTGGGACCCCGTAAGTTGGTTCAGGATTTCACTGACAGGAATAAATAGGGCTAAAGAGAAAGCTGTATTAACTTCACATGGGCAGAAATCCCACTGAACCTAATGACATGCGGCCCCTAATGACCCCTAAAAAGCAGCAGGTGATCAATGTTGTTATTTCTGGTAATTCTTAATGGACTTTTGCTGACCAGGACTGAATAACGAGATTGTAAAGACCTGTTTATAGATAAGCGATGAGATATGGGATGAAGAGATTGTTTGTTGTACCTTAAGAGAAGGTGATAACTTGTTAAAATTGTTTATACTTGTTGTGACGAAGGGGGAAGTCACTTCTTTATATACATCGTTTCTTCGTCTTTGCTATACTCTTATTTTTTCTTTATTTTCTATTTTTTTCTTTCTATTTTTCTTTCTATTTGTTCATGTACTTTCTACAGTGGTACCTCGGGTCACGAACTTAATTCATTCCGCGACTCTGGTTGTGACCCGGATTGGTCGCGACCCGAATCAAATTTTCCCATAAGTTTCAATGTAATTACAGTTAATCCGTTCTGAACCATATGTATTTTTTTTTAAACCACAAAAATATGAAACAAA